ATACATTGATTAATATATTATTTCCTATAACTTTGAGTCATAAACTAGCTTACCTCTGTTGTACTTTCAGGATTCATTACTAAAGATTCTTCTGCTTCGGATTCTGTCTTATCCTTTTTCTTTTTCTTTTTCTTATCTTTCTTTTCCTTTTTCTTTTCTTTGGGTGATACCGTTTCTGGGTCTTCGACGGTTTCTTCTTCTTTTACTGCAACCTCTGGTGCAGTTTGTGGTATTGTTTCTTCCCATTTGCGTTTCTTTGCAGTTGCATCGGTAACTCCATTTTCCTCAGTCTTCAAATAAACGATGTTTCAGTTACTTATTTTTGTAGGAACACACGTTTGTATAAAATAAATAAAATGAACATGTAATGACTACCTTGATTGCAGTTGTAGAATAGTCTTGATAATTGGATAACCAATCAGCAGGTGTATTCTCATTTGGTTTTCCATATTTATCTAACTTTCCTTCAACAATCATACGCTTTTTAATAGATGCTTTTGGTCCCAAACCCCATTTTCTTGGATATGCATCCCTTTCCATGATTACTCTTTTTATTTTGGCAGCTACACCATGATCACAAGCAGTCATTGTAGGGGAGGTCATTAATGCTATCCCTATGAGAATAAAAAAAAATTAAATTATTCTGTAAAAGTAAAAGTATTAAATGTCATAAATGTGCTACAAATAATGTATGGCATTGCTATATTACTTTGAAAATCTATTTACCAAGTGCTATAGCTTCGCCTTTAGTTGTCACTATTACAATTTCTTGGTTCAATTCTATGCCATCGTCATACATCAGTATACCTGGCAGCATAATTTTAGCCCCATAGCAAATAGCATTTACCTATCAATACAGTTGCATAGATTTATAAAGATACGCTTTTCTACTATAAATTTTATTGTGAAAAATGAATAATAAATACATACTGCGCTATCTTTCACGATAATTCTCTTATGATTTACAAGGAGAGCTTCCAGAGGTTTAATCACTCTCCTTAAATACGATTCGTCCCCATGGTTTTCATACAACCACTGAGCATCTAGTATATCATGCATGGTAACCATTCCATCTTTTTCAGATTGTACTCCTGAACGGTTTCTACGGAGTTCTTGCATTTGACAACCAGTGCCTAAGAAGAGGCCAAGGTGAACACAGATAGTTCTAATGTAAGAACCAGCCTCACAACTAACTTTGAATACTCCCATATTTCGTTCTTCATCATAGTCAATGAACCAACTGTCATAGACTGTTCTGACGCGAAGTTGACGCTTGACCGCAGATATAAGCGGCGGCCTTTGAAATAATGCACCACGCAATTTTTCTAGTGCTTGACTCACCTATATTATTTGTTACATAAAATTAGTTTCTTCTACGGATACAAACAGTTTCTGTGTAGTAAATATTATTACCTTCTGTAAGCTTTCAGGAGCAGAGTGTAATTTAAAAACTGCAACGTATTCTTTGCCAGCAGATTGCTGCGATTTAGCTAACCGGGTTGCTCTATCAATGCATACTATTAAACAACCAGATACTTTAGGATCTAATGTACCAGAATGACCCGTCTTTTCTACTTTTAAAATCCTCTTTATCCATGCCACAACTTCGTGTGAAGATGGATTGCATGGTTTATCGAGATTAATGCATCCAGATTTTATATACTCGGATAAATTACGATGTAATGGCGTTGAACCACTGGTTAAAGGAGTAAAATGTTTTGTTCTAGTGAGCAGTTTATTAAAATTCTGAAATAACAATAAACTTATTTTTAATCACTTCACAAAAAATACAATAATATTTATTCTAACATAAATTTATATTTGTCGCATACCTTGAACAAAAGAGGCCAATCCTTATATTCAAGCTTAACAACCACATTGGAAGGTTCTACTTCACACTTCATTGCCACTTGCATCTCCCCAAGTGACTTCTTCTTATTTTTCTTCTTACTTTTATCTACACAACAGAAACAAAAATTAACCTATGAACTATGTTCCTTTCAATCGTCAACATAAATAACGGGCCATACTAGTCATGTGCACACGTGGAAAAATAATTTTAATGTAATGTAAGCCCATAAAACGCGTACAGCATGTTGTACTTAAAGTAGTATCATTAATCGGGACTCTAACTAGACATAGAAACACGTGTCTACCGCTACGAATTTCAGTGATACTTATATCAGAAAGAAAATGTTTTCTTAAATTTTTATGTGTAAAATAAATGTCTTGAGTAATATTAAATAGTACAGAGCGGTAAACACTACACTAAAAAACATAATAAACAAATTAATTTCATGATAATTACCACTTTCTGCCATTTTTATGTAAAGAGAATCAACACGTGCACTCCAATAAACGGTTAAGATACCAAACACGCGGGAGCGTCTGCGTCTTTCTGTGGTTTAATTCCATGAATAACATACAATATAGATCTACTATACAACATGAATATTTGAATAATACCAAAAGAAAGATAAAAATTTTTAATAGTATTGATTTCACGTAATATTGTAAGGTAATTGCAGGAAACAATTAAATACTACAAGTATAGCACAAAATAAAACTGAGAAAATATAATTTTTGTCCGCATAAATACATAAATTTGTAGTCCATCTTGAGTATTCCTCAGGCATAGGCTATTTTCAAATTCAACTGCAATTTCCCTCCAATTCTCAAGACGTTTAATACTTATATCAGAAGTTCTAACAATGCAATTTTATATACACTTTGCATGGAAAGTGACATGGTTAAATTAATTATCTCGGACATATTATAAAATTGTGTGATGATTGTTCGTAATTGGGCAGTTGCAGTACTTTCTGCTTGTTTAGCAGTGTATTGTTATACATTTAGTCCTGTGAATAGCACGTTAGCGTCCAGTAGCAGTAAAGTGGATTGAAAGAAGTAAATATAAAAAATATTCCCATGTCGAAAATTACTGCAAAATGTTTGTGGAGAACTTAGAAAGAGGATTTTATCGATTAGTAAGAGATGACGTGAGTAACATTTTCAAACTCGTTTTCCAAAAGTTCATTAACCTGTTTTATTTATCTAGGTTAAATACTTTTAGTTTTCATTGTTATTTTTTTATTTTGAACAATGTAATTACATTTGGAAATTACTTGTAAATCATTGTTGTGTTTTGTTAATAGTGTTTGAATTATTTCACTAATAAGTTACAAACACACATACGTTACATTACTTTGTATAAAATTTCAAACATATTGTTGACATTAAGCAAAGAAAGTAATGTTACTGCGATTACATTCTTTAATGAGATAATATATTGTAACTTATATTAAATAATATATATTCTTCTTTTATAGAGATGCTTATTACTTGTTAACTTTGATGTTGATGCCATTTGTGCATGCAGAATTTTGCAACAGCTTTTTAAAAATGATAACATGATATATACTCTTGTGCCTGTCCAAGGTATTCAGGATATGGTTCATGCTTTTGAAGAAAATTGTGAGGAGGTAATGAAAATATGAAGAAACATATATATTCTTGTCTAATAGAATTAATGATTGATAATTGTTACTCTCCTAGATAAAAAATGTTATTTTTATAAATTGTGGTGGGACTTTGGACTTAGTGGAATTATTGCAACCTGCAGAATCTGTGATATTTTATATTCTTGATAGCCATAGGCCTTATGATTTATGTAATATATATTCAGAAGATCAAGTTCGTATACTTGGTAAACCTGAGGAAGATGATGAGATTCCAGAATATAATGAAGTCTTTAGGGATGATTCTGTAAATTTCTTCACCTTAACATGATAACACTAACATAGCATAAACATCCTAACAATAAAAGAATATGTTATGTTTAGTCTGACGAAGATGACGATGATTTAGAAAATGAAGAATCCCAAACGAAGAGGCGAAGATTGAATGAAGAAGATATCATCAAGAGAGCGGAACGAAGAAAATGGGCTGAAAATAGAGCAACTATTCTATTCAATTATACACAGTACAGTTATTATGGCAAATCAGTATGTTGTAACAGATATTTGACAAGTTAAATACAATTGTAGTAAATATTGTTCATTTCATTATACTCTTTATTCTTTCAGAGTGCAATGCTCGTTTTTGAAATGGCATGGAGCATGTCAAAAGACAATTTGGATATGCTCTGGTGGGCTATAGTAAGCTCCACAGAGCAGGCTATACTTGGTAAGGTAGAATCACGATTGAGCGTTCTCGAAGAGGGATCTCTTCACTCTCATGTATCTAGATTAACTCATAAGCAAGGAGGTGAAACCGAGAAACAGCAACAACAGCAGCAAAGTACAATTCGAATTACTTATGACAAAGAGTATCCTTTCAAATAGTACCTTCTTCCGAATCACGTTTAATTACCAAATTTCTGCATTATATTATTCCTTACATAAATTGTAGTCTTTCGCTTGCCTTATATCGACACTGGACTGTAGAAGCTAGCCTAAAACATTCAGTGCCAACTGCTGTCTCATTAAAATTATGGTCGATCAGAGGAGAGCAAAGATTAAAGGAACTCCTAGCAGAAATGGGTTTACCTTTAGCGCAATCGAAGCAACGATTTTCCGCCATGGATCTCTCGCTTAGACAAGAATTTCGACAAATGATCGAAAAGTTAGCAGGAAAATATAAAGTAGACACTATTATCGGAACAAGTTTTACTCTTCAATACGGTTATAGGTTTAAGTACTGTGCTTCAGACATAGTTTACGCTATGCTGGCGTTATTGGAATCTTCTGTAAGTGAAGAATTAATATACATCATTCATTAGGCATTATATATTAGTAATATTGAATTGTTTTTCATGTGAATGTTTTGGTTTTGTAGTCGAAAGAGAAATTACCACAGAGCTGCTTTTTAGATGCTTTGGATTGTTTATCGCGCACTAAGAAAGACATTCTAGAAAGCGGAATAGAGAAAGCGAAAGTTATGCTTAGTAGCATTTTTAAAACTGCCCAGGGTATTTTACAAATGAAACAGATCAGAAGCGCTGGCTCGTTTCTTTATATAATCATACCTGAGGGGAGCGTCGATAGTCAGGTGTTCGCGCATCCACATCCATTATTGATGTTCGCTCAATTCATTTTAAAAGCTTATGTTGATTCCTCGAAGCTTAGAAGAGCACCAGAATGGCCGCTTGTGGTCTCCTCAGTATACGACGCGCAGGATGGTACGTGTCTAATGGTTGGCATACCACCGGTGTGTGAAGATCAACCAAGAAGGTAGATATTCAATAAATTATCAGTGGATCATAAATATATATACCATTTAATTACAATAATGTTCATTTATTACAGTCTATTTGGAAGAGCCTTCGAACAAGCAGCTAAAAATACAAATTCTTATATAGAAGCAGACTACTTTGACACTACAAGTAAGCATTGTTTGATAATTTGCTGATTTCACCGTGAATGCTTCCGATTAAAAGGAAATGCTTCTGTTCCAGTAATAAGACTGAAAATCGAAGAAAGGACAAAATTTATGGACGCTTTGGCAGCTCTCCTAGCGTGAAGCTTTTTAGCGATTCATTTGATGTATGAAAATAAGAATTCTCCGGCTATTATTTATTTTGTAGATAAACTAGTACGAATAGTGACAGCAACGTTTCTTTTTTTAAATACAGTGACGGGATCAATTCAATATGCTTTATTTCTGGTGACATACTGTAACTCTTCGACAGACTCGAGTTAGTAATATCCATTTTACCTTTAATGACACGTAGCTTTAATCATGCTGTAGATATTTGTATAAAGTGCAGTTATTTCAACGAATATTGTAAAACGTTTGTTCATGTACGAAACGGCTGATCGAAAACACCGATCGTATCGATAAGACGAATCAGAAACGAGACGAGGCGAAAATATATTCAACGTACGAACCGTAGTTTCGAAGTTCGTTGACCAGTCGATCGATCGGTACAACGTATAATGTAAAAGAAATGACAATAGATATACTTTTTATATGAAAATAACTGAATGCGTGAAATAAAAAGATTTCAATGAATTTCTTTCTTTTTTGTTTGTTTGTTTTTT